GTTTTCAATTAATCAAATTCGGAAATTTATATTCCTTCTCTGAATTAAACGTAAGTTGAAAAAGAAGCTTAACGGTCCCATCAAGAGAGGCATTAACAGACAATTAGAATTTAATTATATCAAATTAAAACAAAATGATTGGATCCTTCTAACCCCAGAAAGTGACACAAAGCCTATAGATAGGGAAGGACCACTTCCAGGTCTCCTTCCTTAACCTACCATATATCATATTTATATTTTTATAACCTAATATTTCTAAACAATGTCCAAATCCCCAAAGGAATATGTAACAATTTTTTGGGTTTTTTTTAAAAAAAAAAACTCTTGATTGAAAGAAGTGTACAATATTAGAGCATGCTGGCATTATCACCCATTCACCTACAGGGAAAAATGTCACATCATTTGCCTAATATAATATCATAGTGTCATGGTCATGGACAACTACATAAATGGTCTTTTTTGGAGGCTAAAAGCCTATGGCTAACATTGCATGCCAGCAAGGTACCATATCAGATCAGTGGTGACCCATCAACATGAGAAGTTAACAAGTCCCCATTTCGCAGCAATAAAGAGGGCATGGGCATGGAATAATCAGCAACTTTCACAATTTTAATACCCACGAACATACCAAAAACCAAAAGTTTCTTTCATTGTTCCCTTCCCTTGGGATTGCCCAACAACCATTTCTTCTCCCCAAAGCTTTTATTGCTAGCTCAACTATTTTGTTGAGATCTGAATCTGATGGTACCTTTGTTCCGTCCACACACACTCTTAGGTTGAAAGTATAGGCAGAGCTTATCGTCACCTTGAGTTTTGTTAAGAACATTAATTTTAATATAATTTTATTAATTTATAGTTTTTTATTAAATAATAAATTATAATATTTAAAATATTTATTTATAAATTGATTTAAATCTGTTAAAATAATAAATATTAATTATTTTATTAGTTATTAATTGTTTTTAACAATCAAATTAAAATAAAAATTTAACAATATTTAGTGAGTTTAGCAAAAGTTGCTGTAACCACAACCATTGCAGTAAGTTTATAGTTTAATTCAGTAGAAGAAAGTTATTTATATTGCATTAGCCAGAGGATTTGTTAGAATTACCTTATTGTCATATCTCTCTTGAATTCAGTTAATTAATTAAGCTAATTAATATGAAGTTCCCCTATGAATTGAATTCCTTTACCATGGCCCAATCGCGTCCTTAGCTTAAGAGGTCCCAAGAAGATCCAAGAGGGATCTATTGTGGGGCATGGAAATGGCATAACTGCTTCTCTTTGCTTCATAAAGTCCAAAAACATCTCTCTCAAAGCTTTTCTAAAGAAAAATGTTCGTCCCCATTCTTAGATCATCATGTTTATGCCAACAAACCTGCCACCTAAATTTGATTTTTCTCTGTAATAACAAAATAGTAGCAATTGAGATCAGGTAGTCCTGGATTTGCATAAAAGGTATACACCTTTCCTTTTTCTTTGAATCGTCTTTCATAAGTCTTGAAGAATCCTCTTTTAAATTTGCCTCTTCATCCTTTTTTAGAACACAAGATAATTTAGTTAGGTTTGGCTTTACAACATCATGGTATTATTTATTAGTTGATAGATCTCTATTACATTAACATTTCTTAGAAAAACAGCCACCTGGGAATTGCAAGTCAGTTTTTATGGGAAAAAGAGAAATGAAACCTTAAATTATGTAAGAGAAGATGATGATCATCTACTGATAATCATGATCCTAATTATTAGATGTTGACTTCATACCTCAATTTTGTAGGCTGCAACATGTACAGGACGATTGGTTTAAAAAAAAACAAACAAACCAAAGAGAATGATAAAATTTTTTAATTAATTAAATTATAATATTTTTAAATATTACAATATAATTAATCAAAAAAAAATGTTCACTTTTTTTATACCAAACATATTAGAATGGTTTGCTTCTAATCAAACCCAAATTAAAACCCCAAAGAAAAACACTTTTTTTTTTTAATTGTTTTGGGCTTTGCTTGCTTATATCTTTTAGATTATGATTGAGTAGTGTAAAAGATCAAGCTTAATAATTACTAAACTATATAACATACTTATACGCAAGTATCTAATATTCCATTCTTACATTAAAAATAAATTTTAAAAAATTAATAAGAACCCAAAATATTTTGGAAGGGTTTTGTGAACAGCAATGAAAGTGGCATCTCATCACGTGATTTAGGAGTTTGCACTCTAAATTAAATCCAAGATAGTACCATGCTATATCTTGAAAATGGCGTTGGTTAAATTAAATTAAGATTAATTTGTCTGTACTCTTAATTAAGTACGGACAACACGGCATGTCCTCCTTAAAAAAAAATTAACTCCTGATTTATTCCAAAAAAAAAAATTAGGCACATGAGGGTCCTTAAACATGAACACATGGCACAACATGCGGGTGATTTTTTCCACTTAATACAGATCTAAACTATTCCTCAACAGTTATAAGAGTTATTTCAATTCACTGTTTTAATATAGTTGATAATTAATAATTAATAATTAATATTTAATAATTATTATTATTTATAATTTAAAATATTTGAACCATTCAATTAAAACTAACAGTTGATAACTATTCCCTTGCATCCTAAACAAACACTTCCATAAAATAATAATATACAAACCCCAAGCTTAAATTTACTTTATATTATAGGCTAACATTAGGATTCAAATTTTAAAATTAATAATTAAAAAAATAATTTTTTAAATGTATCAATTTATTATAGTGCACCCTACAAATTACATAAAAAGATATCAATTTTAAAATATGCAAAAACTATCTCAAAGGCACCTTCCCGTCCCAAATAAGTAAAAAAAATTGATAATACTTATTCATTCCTAGATGGCATACCGTCTCGTATTATATTATCTATATATATATACTTATCATCGTCAATTCGATACCATGTACAGCTAGATTAATTAAGAAAGGGAATTTCAATGCAATTAAATAGTAATTATTAATTAATACACGTAAATTTCATTAAAAAATATTAATTCAGGTAGATTATTAGTTAATTAAGGTAGTTGGTGCTAATTGCTAGTAAATGATTGGATTTATGGTTTTCCTCTTGAATGGGCCGTTGAATATGGATCAATATGTTAGGCGTCCAAAATATAAAATTGGATTCGGTCTGTACAATGTGCAGCCCGGCCCACCTACTACAATAACCACCCCACTAAACGTCAACATCGCAAGTTGTTCTTCTGCCTCCCACCAGCCTGTCCGTATCTTTATTCCCAAAATAATTTTTTAAGTCAAAATTAACTCTTATTTTATACCGCGAGTTCTATGCTGTTGGACCACTTGGACGATAGGATCCCTCCTTTCCCCTTCCATCTTTTTTTTTGTATTGATTATGATGTGCATAAATTATATTGAACCTTAATTAATTTAAAGTCGAATCAAATTAGATTTCATACAAAAAAATCTCTTTCAATGCTTATTCTTTTATTTATAAGATTTGAACTTAAAATTTTATTTAAGGAGAATCAAATTTTTTTTATTTGGATTAATAGGTTATTAGTATCTATTATTATTATTGTTAGGATTTTCCTATCTAAATGTATAAAAAAAGAATATATTTATTATATTTTTTATTATTAATATACATAATAAAATTAAAAATTAATATTAATTTTATTAATTATCTAATAAAAAATATCCATGTGTCATAAATATTAAAATTAATGTTAGTTTTTTTTATTTTTTATGTAAATTAATATACAATTAATAATAAAAATATAATAAATGCATCTTTATATTATACTTAAACAAACCCTTATTGTTATAATATAGTACTAATATTTAAGTTTTACCCCTTTTTTACAGAAAAGGTCTTTTTGGTACAGACAGCACAAAAAGAGTGCAACTTTAGTATTAATATTACTACAACTTTAGTATTAAAACTTTAAATTAGATATTTTAAATTTAAGTTTTAAGTTGGATAAAAAAGAATTTAAAAATAAGAAAAAATCATCTTTTTTTACATAATTTATAATCAAATATATTAAAAAAATTTATTATAACATCATTAATGAAACTCTCTTTTATATTGATTTATTAATAGTATTTTGGTAATTTTAATTTTTCTATTAAAAAAATTCGATCTAGCTTTTAAGACCAAAAAGAATTATTACTATTTTAATGTTTTACATTCTATCTTGCAAGAATTGCAATTACCTCAACTCCATGATTAATGGTGTTTATTGGCTTTAACTCGTTGATCATAAGGTTGATGTTTTTGTAATTTACACAGAATATACTGTAACATACTTTTTTGTTTTTATGGAGAGAAACGTGTAAATTGAAGAGAATTTCATCTCACGGATCCAAAAAGAATTTAGCATATATTTAAAATTTATTCTAAAAAAACAATTTTAATATATATTTAAAATATATTTT